CGTTTTCCACCCAGCCCCTCTACCCCTGCCCCCCTCTGACAACTAGGAGTCTGTTTCTACTTTGTTAATTTTGTTCTTTGGATTCCACATGTAAGTGAAATCATATGGTACTTGTCTTTCTCTGAGTGGCTTATTTCACTTAGCACAATACTCTCCAGCTCCATCCATGCTGTTGCAAAAGTTAAGGGCCTGTCAAAAAAAGGGACATATGTAATTTTTTTCAACAATAAAGATTTTTTTTTTAAAAGAAGGGCCTGTCCAGAAAAGCATCTGCATCCTTGTGGGGAGGGGAGAAGGGTGGGCCTGGCTGTCAAGGGGTCAATGCATAGATAAGGACACAGATATAAAAGTCAATTTAGGAATATGTAGTGGACAGAGGAGGACCAGGGATGGAATCTGATGGCTAAGGGAGAAAACACCCAACTTTCTGTTTTTCTCTATGAGCTAACATATATATTGCACATTTGCTAATAAAAATTTTTCCCTTTTTCCTCTCACATATTTTGCTTTGTAAAGGAGTAGGGGGAGGCCAAGTTACAGGTATTTCAAGAAGGTGTGTTTTAGAATTTTGATAGCAGCTTTGTGTGAGATTGCATCTACACATTTTACTTTTGTGACAGTGTTTTGATTGTAGAGAAAAAATATTAAAGAACCTGAAATCAAATGCTCAGCCTTTGCACACTTTTGATATAGCAAGCTTTGCTACTAGGAAGTAAAGCTTTAGGCTTGGGGCTTTCTAAAAAAGGTGAACTAATGACAAATTTATAAATTAGTCGAGGATGACTTTCTTGTCTCTTGCCTCCCCCCTTTGTGTATGCTTTTTCCCTCACTGAACTCCTTCCTCCCTGTTCTGGCCAGTATCCTCATGCCCTCTCCTTATGGATATTTTAGTGATTTTCTTCTCTGGAAGGATACCAGGGAAACTGATAACAGAGGTTACCTCTGGGGATTGGGGTGGGAGGAAGAGACACGTTTTTACTATGTATCATTTTGTGCTTTTTGAATTTTTATATATTTGCATGTAACACCTATTAGGAAAGATTAAAACAAAATCATTTTAAAATCACTTTTCAGTGAAAAAATTGCTATCTGGGCAGTTCATGGCATAAAACATTTAGGGGGAAGGTGTTCTAGGTTGAAGTGGTGTAGATCAAACCTTATTTTCTTATAAAAACAGCTTTAGGAATAAGGGGTTACATTTTAAACTGAAAGCCTGATGCCATTTTTTAATGCTTAAATTTTTTTCAATTACAGTTAGTTTCAGGTGTACAGCACTGTGATTACACAAATCATATGCTTTACAAAAAGTACCTCTTATATTTTCAGTACACAACTAGCGCTATACATAGTATTACAAAATTATTGATGACATTCCCTGTGCTGTACTTTATATCTCTGAGATTAATGTGTGATTGCCAATCTGTACTTCTTAATCCCTTCACTTTCTTTACCCCGTCCCCCAGCACCCCTCCCCTCTGGCAGCCATTAATCTCTCTGTGTCTATGAGTCTGTTTCTGTTTTGTTTGTTCATGTATATTGTTCTTTAGATTCCACATATAAGTGAAATCATATGGTATTTGTCTTTCTCTGACTTATTTTCTGATGCCATTTTTATGAAAATGACCACAGATATACTATTTAATTGAATGCTAAATCCTATACTTCTACGTTAAACTTTATAAATACCTCCTGATTTTGTAGTTAGTTCCACTGAAAAATATTCTAACCCGAAGTAAGACAAATGTGTACTAGCATGACTACTTTTTGGATCAGAAAATATGGTTAGCTTAGATAAATTTTTTCTAAAATGTATATAATTTAATTAAGTAGAGCAACACAGTAATAATATCAATTTTTATTAAGTAAGATGTAGTCTGCTATAAAATAATCTTATTTCTTTACAATCCTTTCCTTATTTGGAACACTATAACAACTAGAAGTGTTTTTGGCTCTGTATTCTGTTAAAGGCCTTTTCTCTGGCTCATAGGTCTCAGCTTCCTGCCCTGGAATTGGCTCTCAGTGCTTCTTTGATTACAGTCACACCAGCAGCTTCAGGTAAAATAAACTGCTTCCCTAACCCTGGGGAGTGGAGGATTCAAAAAGGGTGGGTGGGTGCCTTAGGACCAGATTGTTTCAGCAACAAGGTTGTTAATCTTTCCATGATGATAGGCAGTTTTGGGAAAAGGAAGATGGACTGCATTCCATGTCCGGGGGCATACAACTCTCAGCCAGGTTAGAATGTGCTTTTTCTAATCAGAACAGAATAAACAGAGCATGATTAATATTTCTTATGATTATAGCTAACCCCCACTATTCTATTTCTGCCCCTAACAGTTCTACCCAGTTCCCCTCAGCCCAACACTTACCAAATATGTCTTATATTTACTCATACTGCTACTTCTTCCTCTTCTGCTCTTCTTCTTTTTCTCCTTCTTATATTTATTTTTACAGTGAAATCTCTTCTCCTTTGACCCATTTTTTTCTTGTTGCCTAACAAAATGCCTTAAAGCAATGAATCAGCCTATTCACCTCAGTCATTATGCAAGTGGGCTGCCTTAAAATTAAAATTGAAAGTATCATTAGAGCATTGCTTTTTCATTTTATTTGTCATGGACATGAATATAAAGTGTAAGCATAAACTTATGACACCACCTTTTCTGGAATATTCTAGAATTTACACACCAAATTAGCATTCTTCAAATGAATCACCAAGATAGAGTAACACAAGTATCCCCCTATGATGTATCATTGCTACAAATGTTTGGTGACTCCTCTTTTGGAATTAGGGGGTGAATATAGTGGAAAGAACATGAGGTTCTGAGATGATCTAGCTAGCCTTTTCTTTGAATCACTAGTCTGTCACATATTAGCTGTGCAATATTGTGTAAGTCTCACTCTCAGAGCTTCCAGTTCCCTAAATATAAAATGGGGTTAAGATTATTAGTCTTGCCAGGCCAGTTTTGCTCAGTGGTTGAGCATGGACCCGTGAACCAGGGTGTTGTGGTTCAATTCCCCATCAAGACACATGCCCAGGTTGCCAGCTCGATCCCCCAAAAGGGGTAGTAAATAATGCCTGTGAAAGTGCCAGGCCTGGCTCCCTTTCAGGAGCACTCCCAGTGCATGTTCAGTCTCCCTTTGCCTTTCCCTCTCCTAAGCTCCAAGCACCCGTAATTTGTTTCCGAAGCCTATGCAGCCCAACTGGCTCATTTCTACTACCTTTGTAACTTTCTAAATAAACTTTCTTTTCTAATTTGAAAAAAAAGTGCCAGGCCCACAGTAAGTGCTTGATATTTTCATGCTTTCATGTTAGAGCCACTTTATCATTTGTTCAAGAAAATTTTTGTCCCTGTACACTCTCCCTTAGTTGATGGCTCTGTTTCCCCAGTCTCTTGTGTGTTCTGGTCAAACTCAACTATATTCTTCCTTAAAAAATTAGGAGTAGGAAGCAACTTTTCTGACTCAACATATATAAAAACCTACAGCAAATAAAATAATTAATGGGAAATCTATAGATGCCATCCCATTAACCAAAAAAACCCCATTTTCTTTCTATTGTCACAATAATTTAATATAGTATTGGAGGTTGTGACCAATATTATATAAGACAAACATAAAAGAAAGGCATAGGTAATGTATGAATTTGAAAAAGACATATACAAATTCCATTACTTGTAGAGAACATAATCATTAAGAGGTAAACCTAATAGACTTTAACAGTCACATTTATTTTTATTTTTTTGTTAATTCTCACCTGAGAATATTTTTCCATTTATTTTCAGAGAGGAAGGGAAGGGGAGAGACAGAAAGAAAAAAACATTGGTGTGAGAGAGACACACTGATTGATTGTCTCCCACATAGGCACTGCAGGGTCTTTGCCTCTGGCCCATTGCCTCCAGCAAGAGCCCCAAATGGGGACAGGGTCTGAGGGCTGATGCTCTATCCACAGAGCCGAACAGGCTAGGGCTAACAGTCCCATTTAAAAAACTACATAAGTTTAGAAAACTTTCTACATTTATGAACACATTCAAAACTTATGGCACCCTTGGTATAACTAACTAGAAAATTAAATATAAAAAATAAGATGTCCCTTGCCTGGCCAGCGTGGCTCAGTGGTTGAGCATCAACCTAGGAACCAGGAGGTCACTGTTCAATTCCTAGTGAGGGCACATGCCCAAGTTGCGGGTTAGATCCCCAGGAGAGGACGTGCAGGAGGCAGCTGATCAATGATTCTCTCTCTTCACTGGTGTTTCTTTTTTGTTTGTTTTTTTAATCCTCACCTGAGGATACTTTTCCATTGATTTTTAGAGAAAGAGGGAAAGACAGACAGAAATATCAATGTGAGAGAAACACATTGATTGGTTGCCTCCTGCACGAAGGCTGACCAGGGCCCAGGGCAGGGAAGGAGCCTGCAAAGGAGGTACATGCCCTTGACTGGAATCGAACCTGGAACCCTGTGGTCTGTAGGCCAAGGCTCTATCCACTGAGCCCAACAAACTAAGGCTCTTCATTGATGTTTCTATGTCTCTCTCTCCCCCTCCCTTCCTCTCTAAAATTATATATATGATTTATATATATATAAAATTATATATATGAAGATATCCCTTAAAATAATAAGATCTAAAAGTTTTTAGGAAACATAGAAAGCACAAAATTTTATAGAGAATATTTAAAAACTCTTTTAAAATATAAAGGAAGTTTTGACTAAATGAAGATATACTAAGTCCACATTTGGGTTGATTTAACTTGATAATTCTACCAATCCACTTCTGCGGGAGGCGGTGGGAACTGCAGCATGCCGCTGGGAGCAGTGCTGCTTCCATGGGAAGCGGGCCCACTGTCTCCTCTCTGGGCCTGCGCTTGGCCCTCTGTCCCTGTCTGTGTCTGCTCTGGCTCCGGGGGCGCGGCTCAAGCCGGGCGTGGCGATGAAGCAAGCATTCTGCCAGGCTGCTCACACTTCCCACTCTCAGCTGCTACCCCCCCCCCCCCGGGACTGGGGGACTCCAGCAGGGATGAGAGGACTGGGCACCGCCATCTTGTGACTATGGGCGCCCCATCTTTAGTGATGGAGTGATGGTTAATTCACATATTACCCTTTTATTAGATAGGATAACACTGGTCTTTGCTGATGGACATGGAGATTGCTTTAGAAATGGATTTGTATTGGAAGTTAACATTGGGAGAATTTTTATTTCATTTTTTTTGAAGCAGCTATGATATATTGAGAAAGAAATTTAAAATAAACAACTTACTCTTTTTCTTTGCAGCAAAGTCACATGGAATTACCATTCCTTAAAAAAATGAACATCATACATGTGAAGGGATTTTTTTCTAATGGTAACTCTGAGGCCTGGAGCTGATAAGATGGGCTTAAAGAACCTCCTGCCTCCTCAGCAGATCTGGCTCATTTTAATAGGATTTTCTCTGCTGTCTTTGGCAGAGACATACGGATTCAGTAAATGTGCACAGTATGAATTGGACATTCACCATGTTTTCTGCATTCGGAAGAAGATCACCAACTTGACAGATGCCATTTGTGACATCCCTGGATACACTACTCACCTCAACCTGACACAAAACCAAATTGAGGTCCTTCCTCCCCATTGCTTCACTAATTTGACTGCTCTGGTGGACTTGCGACTGGAGTGGAATTCCATTTGGAAGATTGAGGAGAGGGCCTTTTGGGGACTTGAAAATTTGACCCTCTTAAATTTAGTAGAAAATAAGATTAAAATTGTGAATAACTCCTTTGAGGGCTTGTCCAACTTGGAAACTTTGCTCCTGAGCCATAATCAAATTACCAATATTCACAAAAATGCCTTTGTCCCTCTTTTAAAATTGAAGCACTTAAGTTTATCTAGAAATTTTATTACTAATATATCCAATATTCTTGAAGCAGTCCAGCATCTTCCGTGCCTAGAATACCTTGATCTCACTAACAATAGCATCATCTCCTTGGACCACAGTCCCAGGTTATTGGCCTCACTGACCCAGCTGAGCCTGCAGGGGAACAAACTAATGGAATTAAATTTCTCTGCTTTGTCACTGCCTAATCTGACCACTCTGGATGTCTCTCGGAATAGCCATGGAGTCATCCAGAATGTTGCTCTGGAAACTTTACCCCAGCTGAGGAGCTTGAATCTAAGTGGAACATCGGTAAAACTGGAGATGCTTCCAACCAAACACCTGCAGAATCTAAGGGAAATGGACCTTAGTGCCTGGGAGTTTAGAGGTGGTCATTTAAACTTGAACAGTGTGTGTCACCTCCTCAGACACTTGCCCATGTTACAGGTTTTGATTTTTAGAAAAAAGGCCACTAATGCAGGAGACATAAAACACCTTGCCAACTGTACCAGGCTTTTGTTACTCGACCTGAGCCAAAATAATAATCTGCTTCACCTCAATGACAGTGAGTTCAATGCTATGCCCAGCCTTCAAAGGCTGAATCTAAATAACTGCAAACTTTCCTTTGTCAGCAACCGGACCTGGAGTGCCCTCCAGAATTTGACAGCCCTAGATCTGAGCTACAACAAGTTTGAAAGATTTCCAGATTTTGCATTTTCACCCTTAAGATACCTACAATCTCTTTTCCTCTCTAGAAATCCCATCACAGAACTCAATGATATGGCCTTCTATGGGCTGTATTCTTTGAAGGAGCTCAACTTGGCTTGGTGCTGGATAGTGAAAATTGACAAGTATGCCTTTGCTCAATTTCCAAATTTGGAGAGTTTAGATCTTGGAGGCAACAATATTAGGACTCTAAAACGCAGAACTTTTCAGTTTCTGAAGAAACTCCAAGTTCTGATTCTCTCCCAGAACCGCCTGAAGATTATAGAGAAGTATGCATTTTCAGGTCTCATTTATCTCTATAATCTTGACCTAGCAAAGAATATCTTGTCAAATATTGGGACAGGCATTTTCTTGGGCCTTGAAAATCTAGAAGTTTTGAATCTCAGTTTTAATGAAATTACATATGAAACTACCAAGACCTTGCAATCTCCTCCATTTATGAAGCTCAAGTCTTTGAAACAACTCAACCTAGAAGGACAAATGCATGGGATTCAGGTTGTTCCAACCAACTTCTTCCAAGGACTCAATGGCTTGCAGGAGCTACTACTAGGCAAAAATCCCATGGTATTCTTGGACCATCTCCAATTTGATTCCCTTACTAATCTCACAAAGTTGGATATCTCGGGAACAAAATCTGGAGACCGAAGTCTCTATTTAAATATTTCCTTATTCCAAAAACTCAAAAAACTAAGAATGCTGCGCCTGGAAAACAATAACATTGAGTCACTGACTCCTGGCATGTTCTCTGGCTTAGAAAGCCTTCAGATCTTCTCTTTAAGATTCAACAACCTAAAAGTCATTAATCAAAGTCATCTGAAGAACCTGACGTCACTGATGTTCTTTGATGTCTATGGGAATAAACTTCAGTGCAACTGTGACAATGTGTGGTTCAAGAACTGGTCAATAAACTCAGAAAATGTCCATATCCCTTACCTCCAGAGCTATCACTGTCAGCCAAATACCCAGAATTTGTTGATAGATTTTGATGATGCTATGTGTAATTTTGATCTAGGAAAGGTTTACTTCCTCTGCTCCTTCACTCTCACCCTCACAACCATGGTTGTCTCTTGGTTCAGTGCCAAGATAACGTCATCTCTAAGGTATGGGCTCTACATATTTCGAGCCTGGTTCCAGGCCAAGTGGCATAGGACAGAGAAGGAATTCATCTATGATGCCTTTGTCTCTTTCACTGCCACTGATGAACAGTGGGTATATGAAGAGCTTGTTCCAGCCCTAGAAGAAAGTGGCCAGCCCACCTTTAAGCTCTGTCTTCACCACCGGGACTTTGAACCAGGTATAGATATCTTTGAGAACATACAGAATGCCATCAACACCAGCCGAAAAACTTTGTGTGTGGTAAGTAACCACTACCTGCGCAGTGAATGGTGCTGCCTTGAAGTACAGCTTGCCAGCATCAAGATGTTCTATGAGCATGAGGATGTTATCATCTTGATCTTCCTGGAAGAGATCCCAAACTATAAGTTATCCACCTACCACCGACTGAGGAAACTTGTGAATAGGCAGACATTCATCACCTGGCCAGACAGTGTACATGAGAGGCCACTCTTCTGGGCTCGAATTAGAAATGCACTGGGCAACAAATCTGTGGAGAAAGACAATGCACAGCTAACTGTGAGTGAATGACCAGAGGTCTATGTGACCTTAAAACTAATGTTGCCCAAGTTATGTATAGGCTGAGAGCGTGACTGAATGTACCTGTTGTACAGGGAAAAGGATGAGCTGCTCATGACCATCAGACCTAGGGTAATTTGGTTAATGTCCTTTGGACAATTGGAAGAATGAAGGAGGGAGGGCTGCTTGAGGAAGCCTCAAGAACAGTGTCCCCACTCTAGGGGAATGGATATCTGGCAAGTATATCTGCTTTATTAAGGGGAAGACTTGGGAGACAAGTCACCTAAAAGTATGGGGATCAGGAGAGCCCTCATATGTGCTTGAGAAAATTGTTAAACTAATTTCTCCAAGTCAGTTCTGGGAAGGTAGATAGGATTGGCTCTCTTGCACACACTCTACTCCAAGGAGCAAGGCCATGCCATTCCCTTTCTCCTTCTCTTCCCCCACAGGCAAGTATCCCCCAACCTCTAAGGGACCCCATGAGACTTGCAAACAGGGTAGATTGTCTGCTGCAGCTCGTTCTGGGCTAACCCCCTCAACCTGTCTCCAAGGCCCCCTTTTCTCTGACTTCCCAGTGAGCTAAAGAAGCCCAGCCATTTTCTCTCTCGACTGGCCTGCCCCTCGTTTGGAATGTAAGCAGCCTGGCCGTTTTGTCTCACACTCAGCTGGCACATGCCTTGTTTGGAATATATCTTCAATAAAACCCATTTTGCTTTACTTTTGTTTTTGTTGACCTTAAAATCCTTTCTGCGTCACGAAAAGAACTGAGGCCCCAGCCAGGAACCCCAGTCAGTAACATCTCTGTGGCACTGTGACTCAGATTGCACAAACCATAAGTCTTCTGGCCATGAGGCTGGAGAAAGGGCTGTTTTACTCTTGCCTCTTGTCCAGGATTGGGAAGGCAAGGCAGTAGTTCTAGTTAAAGCGGGAGAACGGCCTGCAAGCAGAACACTAAAGCAACTGTGAGTGCCTGGGGATGACCTGGCACCGACGCTACAAGGCACATCTTCCCTCCAGAGTGCAAACAGACACTCTCAGGTGACTGAGGGTCATTGTGGAGGTGTCTGAGGGTCTCCCTTGTGATGTGTAAGGGTTTAACAGGGACTCCAGAATACAACTGTAATTAAACTTTGACCCATCTGTTGGGTGCATATAAGGTTTGGTCACCAGCACTCCGGGTCCTCACTCCCTTGTTTTAAACAGTCATGAGAGAAACTGAGACACGTAAAAGGATAGAGGATGACCATCAAGTGTCATGGCCTCTGAGACCTCCTCCCAAAGCAGCATACTTTTACCCACCACATTGATCCCCCAAAATTCCACTTGCAGTCATGACCCCCCACGCCCACATTATCAGCATATGATTCTGTCATCCATGCGTTGTTATGATTTAATATGCCTTGCCTGCCCAACCAGACTGCTTGATCTGCACTCTTAACGGGAAGTACCATGGTAGAATTTATACTTTATCATGGGTTATGGCAGGCACAGTGTTCTCACAATCCGGACTATGTAAGAACTCTCAGAGTAGGGGTCTACCCTGTTGGAGTGGATCCTAGAGGGATTGGTGGAAATGGCATAAACATCATCAAAAGAATAGGAGACGCCGAAACCGGTTTGGCTCAGTGGATAGAGCGTCGGCCTGTAGACTGAAAGGTCCCAGGTTCGATTCCGGTCAAGGGCATGTACCTGGGTTGCGGGCACATCCCCAGTAGGAGGTGTGCAGGAGGCAGCTGGTCGATGTTTCTCTCTCGTCGATGTTTCCAACTCTCTATCTCTCTCCCTTCCTCTCTGTAAAAAATCAATAAAATATATTAAAAAAAAAAAAGAATAGGAGACACACAGACTAAAGATATTATATAGAAGTCCAAGGTACAAGAAAACTAGATGGTAAAAGGAACCCTAAATTTACCTCAAACCATTAGTTCTTCCACTTATGGGCTACTACCTTATCTACTCTTTTAGCAAAACCCTCCTCTATCTATAGAACGCCTTTATCCTGTTATGTCCTCTGGACACACTAGCTCTATTTCTCTCCCCTGCTCCCTTGTCCTGGTCCAGAAGACTTGCCTGTTCCAAGATTCCCAGGCTTATCCCACCCCAACCAGGTCTATGGAAACTTCCAACACCAGGTAAGGTTTCACTTCCCTTCCCCTGAGATTATGATGAGATCACATGGTCTCATCCCTGCTAGATGCCTGAGATGTCACTGGGATACTAGGCTCTGGACTTGACCCCAGGATGCTGGGCTTTCTACTTCCTAACCTTTTCTTCCTTCCAAATGGAGAATTGACAAACTATATCAGACAGGAGTCCCCTAGCCTATATCTTGGCTAACTGGGCACAATTTGATCTCCAGACCTTAAAAAAAAAGACTAATTTTCTATTATAATTCGGTCTAGTTCAACAATGGAGAATCATGGCCTCAAAATGGGAGCATTAATCATAACACCATCCTTCAATTGGATCTTTTCTGCAAGTGACAGGGCAAATAGTCAGAAATCCCTTGTGTCCAGATATATCTCCTATTATGAGAATAGGAGACTCCCCTCTGGAAATGTAAATTGACTACCCTGGCTGTATTACAGCCAGACAAAGACTCTATCTCACAACACTGTGCTAATGGCCCACAATAATCCCCCAGCTACACCCTCATTCCATTACCTAAACCTTATCTCTATCCTGGGCTGCCTCCATACCCTGAAAAAAATTCCCTGTCATCAGAGACGGAAAAGCCAAGACCAACCCTACCTACCCTGCCAGGGGAATGTGGCCCACTGCTTGTCCATAAACACTTCTCTCTTGTGGCCAAACTCTGTAAGATATAGAACTCTTCTAAAGCTAATAAATGCCTAACCAGAAGCAAACATAGAGTTGCTCCAAGGGTGTTTCTCCTTCTCAATGACAATTTTGGAGAAGTTGAAATTATCATAAAAATAGAAGCCACTAAGGTCCTTGTAAATACTGGGGCTACTTTATCTATTTCTAACTACACCCAACTTAAGTTGCCTCCTCCTTCAGAGTAAAGCTACTTTCAAAATATTTTTATTATTATTTATTTTTTAAACTTTATTGTTGCAGCTGCTCTACACGTAAAGTGTCAGCCTGTGGTTTCATCCACTCCATAAATATGTATTGAGCCCACTCTGTGTGGCAAGGATTGCTTTGGGGACCTGGGACACTGTGGTAAACAAGGCGTAGCTTTTGTAGGCAGAGCATTTATTCAAGGAAATACTTTGTCTTCTGAATTAAGGGGGTGATTCTTTTTTAAAAAAAAGTGTTTTTATTGTTTTAAAACTTTATTGTTGAAAGTATTACATATGTCCGTCTTTTCCCCCATTACCTCTTCCAGCCTGCCTCCACACCCCACCCAAGGCCTTCAACCCCTCATTGTCTGTGTCCATGTCTGAGGCTTTGCTGCCTACGGTTTCTTCTAAGATTTTTATGGTTGCACCACTTACATCTAAGTCTTTTATCCATTTTGAGTTTATTTTTATGTATGGTGTAAGTTGGTGGTCTAGTTTCATTTTTTGCATGTATCTTTCCAATTTTGCCAACTCCATTGATTGAAGAGACTGTCATGACTCCATTGTATGCTCTTGCTTCTTTTGCCAAATATTAATTGAACATAATGGCTTGGGTCGATTTCTAGGTTTTCTGTTCTATTCCATTGGTCTATATGCCTCTTCTTGTTCCAGTACCAGGCTGTTTTGAGTACAATGGCTTTATAGTATAACTTGATATCTTGTATTGTGATCCCTCCAACTTTGTTTCTTTCTCAACATTGCTGCAGATATTTGGGGTCTTTTTTGGTTCTATATAAATTTTTGGAGTATTTGTTCTAGATTTGTGAAATATGCCATTGGTATTTTAATAGGAATTGCATTGAATCTATAGATTGCTTTGGGTTGTATAGACATTTTAATGGTGTTAATTCTACCAATCAATGAGGTCAAGGGAAACTAAAGAGAAAATAGACAAATGGGACTATTACAAAATAAAAAACTTCTGCACTGCAAAATAAACTGTCAACAAAATGAAAAGGGAGTGGTAGAACATATTTGGCAATGATACATCTGATAAAGGTTTAATATAAAAATATATAAAGAACTCATACAACTTAACAAAAGCAATTTTTAAAATGGGCAAAGAATCTGAATAAGCACTTCTCCAAGGAGGAAATATGGATGGCCAATGAACATATGAAAAAATGCTCAACATCACTGTGAGAGAGATGCAAATTAAAACTACAATGAGTTATCATCTCACATATGTCAGAATGGATATCAT